CCCCAGCTACGTTCTGCACGTTGATGAACCAGGTTTTCTACGACTACCTGGATCAGTTCGTCATAGTATACCTCGATGACATTGTTGTTTACAGCACAACCCTCGAGGAACACAAAGTGCATTTGAAGTTAGTGTTTGACAAGCTCCGGCAGAACCAGCTGTATGTGAAAAAGGAGAAATGTGCATTTGCACAAACATGCATCAACTTCCTTGGACATGTCGTCAGATGTGGACAAATTAGTATGGATAGCGACAAGATAAAAGCTATCCAAGAATGGAAGGTTCCTACTTCCGTATCTGAGTTGCGGTCCTTCTTNGGAATCGGGACGCCAAAGAGTTAGAGAACTTCATCTTTGACGTCGAACAGTACTTCAAAGCCACAACAGCTTGTACCGACGACAAGAAGGTGACTGTAGCCACGATGTATCTCGTAGACGACGCCAAACTGTGGTGGCGTACGAAGGTGCAAGACATCGAGGATGGATTGTGCACCATCGACTCATGGGAGGACCTCAAGAGAGAATTGAGGGAACAATTCCTCCCCGAAAACGCAGGGCATATAGCAATGGAGAAAATAGTAGCCCTGAAACACACTGGAAACATACGGGACTACGTCAGGCAGTTCTCAACCCTGATGCTGGATATCAGGGGCACAGCAGAGAAGGACAAGGTGTTCTTCTTTATAAATGGTCTACAGCCGTGGGCCAAAACAAAGATACATGAGAACAGGGTCCAAACCCTAGCTGCCGCAATGGCCTGCGCCGAGAGACTCGTAGATTGTGGGAACGAAGCAGGATCCCAAAGAAGAGTGACACCAGCCCCAAACAATGGGGGCAAACCATACAGACCACCAGGCCAACGAAATGGAAGTCCCAACAGACCGAATGGATGGACGGATAGACCTCCTCAGAACAATCAAGCGGGGACTTCTCGAGGGCCTTACCATCAAAGGAACCACCCGACGACACTTTTGCAATGCATGCTGTGTAAAGGCCCCCACAAGGTATCCTACTGTCCTCATCGGGCCTCTCTCACTGCACTTCAAGTGTCCATTCAAGAGAGCAATGAAGCAAGGGTCGAGACTTTGCTAGACAAGANCATCGCTTACGAAAGTCGAAAGCTCAACGATGCCGAACGAAGATACACTGTCTCCGAGAAAGAAATGTTGGCTGTAGTCCATTGCCTTCGAGTCTGGAGACAGTATCTCTTAGGATCACAGTTCGTAGTGAAGACGGATAACAGCGCCACTTGCCACTTCTTTGATCAACCAAAATTAACAGCAAAACAAGCCCGGTGGCAGGAGTCGTTGGCCGAATTCGACTTCAAGTTCGAACACAAAGCAGGAAAGAGTAATCAAGCAGCCGACGCGCTGAGTCGGAAGGGCGAACATGCGGCCCTGTGCATGTTAGCCCATATTCACTCAAGTAAGATCGATGGATCGATGCGCGACATCATCAAGGAACATTTACACAAAGACCCATCGGCCAAAGATGTTGTCGAACTAGCTAAGGCTGGAAAGACACGGCAGTTTTGGGTTGAGGGGAACCTCCTGATAACCAAAGGAAATAGATTGTACGTCCCAAGAACGGGGGAACTGAGGAAGAAGCTCATTCAGGAATGTCATGATACCTTGTGGGCCGAACATCCTGGGTGGCAAAGAACATACGCCCTAATAAAGAAGGGGTACTTCTGGCCAAACATGCGAGACGACATCATGCAATACACCAAGACGTGCCTCATCTGCCAACAGGATAAGGTCGAGAAAGCCAAAGTCTCTGGACTCTTGGAACCTCTACCTGTGCCGACAAGACCCTGGGAAAGTGTATCTCTGGACTTCATAACGCACCTCCCAAAGGTCGGGGAATACGACGCCATTTTGGTCATTGTAGACCGATTCTCCAAATATGCGACGTTCATCCCCACTCCCAAATTATGCTCGGCGGAACTCACAGCCCAACTGTTTTTCAAACACGTTGTAAAGTTATGGGGCATTCCGTCGAGCATCATCAGTGATAGGGATGGCAGATTCATTGGGACGTTNCATACAACTGAAAAGGGGACTCGCACGAGAGGAACCTACGTTCATGGCCATACCACTGATAGAAGAAGCAACCACCGAAGAGACTGTCCCAGAGGAAATCAAGGAAGTACTAGACAGCTATACCGACATCATGCCAGAGAGTCTACCACAAACACTACCACTTCGTCGAGGCATTGACCACGAAATCGAACTCCTTCCCGGGGTTAAGCCGCCAGCAAAGAAAGCATACCGGATGGCTCCGCCCGAGCTAGCCGAATTGAGGAAACAACTGGATGAGTTGTTGAAGGCGGGATTCATTCACCCGGCAAAGGCCCCTTATGAAGCCCCCGTACTATTCCAGAAGAAGAAGGATGGGACGTTGCGTCTGTGCATAGACTATAGAGCCTTAAACAAGGTGACAGTACGCAACAAATATCCTCTGCCGATAATATCTGATTTGTTCGACCAACTTCACGGGGCCAAGTACTTCACGAAGTTGGACTTACGATCAGGATACTATCACGTACGTATTGCCGAAGGGGACGAACCCAAGACGACGTGCGTAACAAGATATGGGGCCTTTGAGTTTCTAGTAATGCCCTTTGGCTTGACAAACGCCCCAGCTACGTTCTGCACGTTGATGAACCAGGTTTTCTACGACTACCTGGATCAGTTCGTCATAGTATACCTCGATGACATTGTTGTTTACAGCACAACCCTCGAGGAACACAAAGTGCATTTGAAGTTAGTGTTTGACAAGCTCCGGCAGAACCAGCTGTATGTGAAAAANTATTTAGAGAAGGCTTCCAAGCATATGAAGAAATGGGCGGACAAGAAGCGTCGCCCCCTTCATTTCCATGCAGGAGATCAAGTCCTTATCAAGCTGAGACCAGAACAGATCAGATTTCGTAGCCGAAAGGACCAGAGACTAGTTCGTAAATATGAAGGCCCAGTTGAAGTCCTTAAAAAGATCGGGGCTACCTCCTACCGAGTTGCACTACCCGCATGGATGAAAATCCACCCCGTCATTCATGTGAGCAACTTGAAGCCCTATCACCCTGATCCAGACGACGACCAACG